TAGTAGTAGTAGTAGTAGTAGTCAAGCAACTATGATATGATGCCCTACAAAGTATTGAAATCGAGACTCGATTGGGGCTGTGGAAGGTACAGATTGCACAGAGGTAAACGGAATTCCCCACTCACTGTCTCTCTCTCTCTCTCGAATCACTATCTCGCTCTCCCTCTCTTCATTCATTCTCTCTGGTATGCTGGCTCTTTCCCGCAGCTAGATTGACACTGTATTCATTCAATGTCGCTCCATCCATTTAGTCAGTCAGGCTTTGCACGTTCTCTCGACGAGTGCCTCGCGGATCTGCAAGCTTCGCTCCACACCTGCACGCTTGCTGTGGAACTGCGACAACAACTCTCACTGCCAGCAGGTGCTTTGCGGAACCTACTCGGGCTCTTGCACATTTAGAGATGTCTTTGAGCTTAGAGATGGAACGGCCAATTGCAAGACACACAACAAAACCTGCCCGGTCACGAATGGCAGTGGCAAGCGAAGCTTATCTGCAATAAGCAAACATGCAAAACTCCCGAACATCATACCAGGTTGAAATGTAAGACTACTAGGTCTAGTCCGTTGGAGCGACTAGACAAACTGGCACAATAGGTGGTTCAGTGATGTCGTATACCGGTCAGTGGCAATTGTAGGACCTACAGAACCTACAGTTTTCTAGATGCACTTAGTTAGTGTTGGGCCAATGGGGCGGAGCAATGAAACCTGGTAGCCATAAAACAAACCTTCAATTCGTTCTCAACCCTCAAGCACCGAGCCCATGGACCCAATTGATTCCAACCTGATTTCAATCCAATTCCAATGCCCAGAAACCACCGTCAACATATCAGGCAAGTTGGCTGAAATTAAACAAATAATCGACTATGATAACATTCTGTGCTGACGATTAGGGAACTTGGAACCAGAACTTAGACTTTTTATCTTGACAGGACCCCCATGTACGCCGTTCTCGGCTATGGGAGCGAGATCCGGAAAGGATCATTGGGCTTTCGAAACTCACACTGCACACTTCGACGTGCAGAAGGGGTTGCTAACAGACTTGCTCGTGGTGGAAAACGTCCCCGAGTACAATGTGGAGTGTGTCAGACAGGCCCTTGGCCCAGCCTACAAGGTGCACTCCGTAAAAGTTGACCCCAGAGCATTTGGCCAACGGGCTGCAAGGGCACGTGTGTACGTAGTGGCATACCGGCGCAAAGCATTGAAATTCAGGGACGGAACTTCCTTGCACGGCATGCTTTCTTTGCTACGGCAGAAGCCAATCCTCAGCATCAGTGACTACTTTTGGAAGAAGCTTCCAACCATGTTGCTATCTGCGCCGAATGCAGCTTGTCTTAAGACTTGCGATCAATTTTCATAAGTTGTCGTTACATGCTTACTTGCGACCACTGGCTCACCCCTTACTCCTTCGCATTATTGCTACTAGGAAACCCTTACTTCTTGTCTAATTCTTCATTCAGGATCACAATCACCCAAGTCTGCAGTGAAGTTGACTAGCATGAAATTTGCTGAAGGCTGCCAACCTGGCGGACTATGAGAGGCTCTATCCGAACAAGATGTACCCCGACTTGCAGCAGATGGCCTCCAAGATGCGAGGTCGAGGAGAAACGCAGGACCAGTCCCTGCAAACGTTGACAACGAACAGTGGCAAAATTTTCTCTCGAGAGTCTTGCTTCCGATTCAGATTCAGCACAGTAGAGACGAGTCTCACTAAGACTGATACTCCTGAGGCATTGGTGGAGGGTTTAGGGTTTAGGGTTTGGGGGGCAGCATGACGGACGGATTGTGATAATAAGGAGCTGGAAAGATACCTCCACCCGGAGGAAGCGCTATCTACCCATCTTCTTCCGATGACTGCTTCCCAAAGCAGTGCGTGTGGCAGCCCAAAGCTGAACATGCGACAAGTGCCACCTACTGAGATGGTCAGAATGGCAGGCAATGCTATGTCAGTACCGGTGGTGGGCGCTATTTGCCTCGTTTGTATTTTAGGTCTGGAGCGAACATGAATCAATGAAGCTCCTACCGTTGAAGCTTACGGATTCTGTGCTTTGAGCACAGATGAAGTGTGTCAAGCTGTTTTTGTGCACATGATTTCAATTAGTTCTAGGCTACTAGGCTTAGGCTAATCTGATGAACTTCCTGAGCCAATTCGAAGGGGCTCTGCAGAAACAGGAAAGAGTCAGTGGCTGTGCATGTTGTCTCGCTACTCGCAATGTTTGCCTGAAGATGTTGAAATGAAACCGGGCCGCTGAGGACTTTCAGATCGGGACTGAGGGTGCCCATCCAAATTCCAGGCCTCGCAGCCATGTCCAGCAAGCGGACAGCTTCGACCTCAGGCGGCAGCGGGACCAAAGTCAAGATTGAGGCTGGGCCATGGTCGGGTGAAGTGCTGACAGCTCTTCAGTTTCCTGGCTGCAAAAGCACGTACATCACACCGGCTTCTGGCAATGAAACACCGGCTTCTGGCAATGAAGACATCTACTCGTGTAAAAAAAGCTAGCTACTCCTCCTACAATCATCTTATTCGTCGAATAAGCACGACATGCGAAGAAAGGAAATTCGATCCAGAACGCGATGAGCACCCTTGTGAGTACGTGGCCACCAAGCTTGCGACCATGAACCACGAGGCCTTGCACACATGGTTGCAGCAAATGACCGATGGTGCGGTCATGCACCCATCCGGTGTCACAATGCCTGCCTCTAGGCATTTAAGACATTCATGCAGTTTTGTTCAAGCATCGCGCTAACTGGTTTATTTTATAAAATTATTTTATCTATTATGCTTCTTCTTGCATCGATGAGATTTTTTAGGCGGACAAGACATCGACGGTGTTCCAAACGCCGATCTTGTCCTTTGGGTACAAAAAGCCCACTGATGGGTGGCCGATCCTCAAGGATTGGGTAGGCCATGCAACATCTATCTACTCGAATGGGTATGAGTCGTGGAGAGAGACGGTCGAGTTGAAGGTTCTGTCAGATGCGAGCCTTGGTCAGCCTATGACCTGGGGATGCGTTCTCCCGGCGAAGGGCTTTGGCAGGATCAGTGTGCTGATGTTTGGCATCATCTACTCCTATGCCGAGCTGCATGGCAAGCCCTGCTGGTCGGAGGAAGTGGAGAAGGAGTTCAAGCAGTGCCCCGTCAAGAATCTTAATGCCTACAATTTGATTTAAGTTTGAACGGCTTCAAACCGCATAACCTTAAAACCCTCAAGACTTGTAAGGGCAGGAAACCGCTAGACATTGCACCTACCACCCTGAGACCCCGATGTTTCCAAGCCTGAAGCCACTAAGACTAGACCCCTAAAAATACCACTTACCGCGACTGAGTTCGGTACAG